CCATCAGTGCCGACCCAACTACACCACCACGCGCATGCCTCGCGGCGGATATGCGCAGCAGCAAGAAGGTTTCGGTCATCCCTTGAGGGTGAGTCTAGCCCTGCTCGCCAGAAAGACCCCCCCCTTCGCTACAACCCATGTCTAAGCAAAAGCTTGTCGAGGAGCAAGGGGAAGAAGGGAGAGTATTAAAATGGTTAAATAACACTGATGAGGCAGTTACCAGTGCAACTGTGTGTGTTGTGTGTTTTCGTCCTATTTATTATGACGACAGTCCCCCCATTTTTCGTGGTGAGACGTGTACTACACTTTCAGCGTTTGTAGAGTGCCACACTTTTCAGTGTATTTTTTCGTACAACTACAACCATCCAGGCGGGTCACACAAGAGGGGGTAAACACCAGGGCTTTTTTCTTCTTTTTATTTCTATTCATGCCCCACCTTCCTCCTGCGGTGCGTGCTGAATTTTATTTTTATCGCGGAGGGTCCAGCCGTCCCTTTCGCTCGTCAACGGTGCTAACGTCGAAGTTTGGTACTCACGAGAGCTTTTTTGCTATATTTCCCTTTCACCCGCAAATTTTGTAAATTTTTCACTCCATGGGGATTAGAACTCACGACCTCTGCGACTAACGTATCACGAGGATACCACTAGACCACCGGAGCGACCGGTTCTCTGGTGGAAGTGAAAGCACCAAAAAAAATTGTCATACGCAGCTGTCATCCGTACCCAGCAAGTAAGCACAAGATGCCGAACACCCTTAGCAGGATGCAGCGCACCCTTCATGCGACTCGCCGAATATCTCACGGCGCTTCGCGCTTGGTGATGTGAGAGCCTGGTCTGACTATGAGTACACTCCCCCCAATGACCCCGATTTTCGATTTGTTGGCCAAGACTTTATGTGTGTCTTGAAATTATGTTCACTTGTGCCCTTGCCTACGCACAGCTTCAACTGTAGACTACATATATATGTATTTGTCTTCCCAACACACCTCGAACAAAAACATTTTTGACGCTCACCTCTCGAGGTCGCTGTCACTCGATTCAGCGAGGATGATGTTGTTCTGCGGAACCTGGTGCACCTGGCGGAGGAGACGGGAGCAGGGCCTAGATCATCACTTGGCCAAGTGCGGAAGGCGGCATGGGGACGCTGTATGCCGATGACGCCGGCGTAGTGTCGAAGTCCGTCGACGGACTGGCGAGAACGATAACCGTCATCGCTGAAGTGTTCCCGAGGGGAGTTCGGGCTGACAGTATTGGAGAAGAAGGTGGATACGGTTCTGATGCGCGTAAAGGACGAGGACTAGCCAACACCATCGCCCGCAACGTCACCGCTCATCATCGAACCAGCGGAACAGAGGGACGCCCAGACGACTGAGTTCCCTTACCTACATAGGTGACCTCGTCAGCGGGCATTGCGATTTCATTCGGGGGGCACGAGCAGAGCAGCGTGACTGTGCGTCAGGAGATATAACCGGGAGATCTTCGACAGACGGAGAGCACCGTTTCGGCTCAAGACCCGCCTACTCCAGGTGGAGGCGATGGAGGCGCTGCTGTTCGGTTGCATGACATGGACCTCACGTCGCGACCTTTACCTATTTATTTATTTATTTTTTCCTTCCGACAATTGCATACCTATTGTTGCGGTCGATACACCACCGGCTTCTCCTGAGTCATATCGGTATCAGCGTAAGCAGGGCACTGTTCGGCAACGGCGCCTACTGTTCGCGGGAGGGTTGCAAGGAAGCCGGATGGGCGCCTTCCCGAAACGGCTGGTGTCCGGTGAACTGGAAAGGAGGGAGAACCCACGCAAGAGATGTCCGGAGTAGCACTGGCTGACGTGCCTGAAGGGCGATTTCAAGGCGTTCAGGTCTGCGTTGACGACGCTCATGCTTGTTCCGAGTCCCGAAATTGATTCTGGCGGAAGCAGCAAAGATGGAGCGGGGGGTACCATGGCGTTCGGGGGACGGCAGGGAGCTGAGAGGTTCAAGACCGCCTGGCACAAAGTGTTCGTGGGTCTGCGAACATTGGTGTTGGATACATGTGCTAGATGATTTGGTGACACGCAGACTGGTAAGATTGCCGTTCGGTAGGGGGCACCGCGATGATTCACGGGGCCCCTCCTTGCTGTGTGAGCCGCTCTTTGAGCATACCCTCTTCGGCCCATGTGAAGAACGGTCGTCTACCTCTCGTGAAGTTAATACATCACCAAAACAGTTTCACCCGAAAATTAGAGTGGCGTAGGCCGCAAACACTGGTAGAGTTTTTGCCCCTAGAGGGAAGCCACATTGGGATGAGCTCTGCTGGAGACGAAGAGCGCACTGCAGCGAGCGGAGAACAGATCTGCCCGCCGGGGCCGGAGGGCCGCGATGCGGACCTTGCAAGTTTGCAACTGCAGATTTCGCAATTGGCGGCCCTGATGGAGAAGTCGGTGAAGAAGAAGGAGCCTGGCAGCATCGTGGCGGATGCAGCCAGTAGGTGCGGCTGGGTTGCCGCCCCCGGAGGCCAACAAGAAAGCCCATGCAGCCGCTCGGCGGTAGCGGGGGATTTCTCCAGCAGCAAGCGAGAGATGGTGGGCAAGGACCACGGCAGCTGCTGGAAGGCGTCTGGGCCAGCAGATCGGGAGCGAACCCTGTTGGACCAGCCGGAGTGAGCCCGGGCATAGGACCGGACGACGGGGAAGCGAGGGGGATAAACCCCCCAGGTGAGATACCCGTGACTCGAGAAGATGGAGAATACCTCGACGGCTACAGCAGTAGCCTCCAGAAACGAGTGACGGTCGATGCCCCGCTTCTCGACGGAAAAAGTCGTAGCCACGGATTTGATCCTTGGCGAAAATCGTTCATCCAAGCCTCGAAGACCATCGACTTGGACGGGCAGTTTATAAAAGATGCAGAGAGCAATATCCCCGTGGGCGTCCCAAACTCGCCGACTCCCGAACTGCTCCGTAGGGGCACACGAGAGCAGAAGCCCAACGAGGGCTTCAGGCGTTCCATTGTATCACTACTGCTGTGGTAAAACAAGCTGACAAAGCAATCATCAGCAACTGTACGTCAGTAAAAGAGGTCTTCACGGAATTGGAAAAGGTCTATGATCCAGAGTCACAGGGGTCCAAACAGGCTTTGATGCGGAAGATGTTTGACGTTGCAATCCCCACACACAGCAACAGTAACCCCATCGAGCACCTCTACTCACTCGAGCTGCTGTATGCCCGCCTGCGCGAAAAGGGGCTCAATGCTGAACAACCCTTCGTTCTCGCCCACTTCGTTGGTTCCCTCCCACCCGAGTACCAACAAGCGAAGTTCCTGTTGGAGACAGCAACGGCGCTGGATAGGGCCGAGATCNCGGTTCCCTGCCACCTGAGCCAACAAACGAAGTTCCTGTTGGAGACAGCAACGGCGCTGGATAGGGCCGAGGTCGTCATAATCGTGAGCATGGTGCACGCGAGCCTCCCGGAGGGGAGGAAGGCATCGAAGGGCCAGCGGAGAGCGGAGCACGCTCTCCTCGCGAGCGACGGTAGCGGTGGGGGAGGAGCGCCGGGCCGCGGCAACGGCGGCCGCCGCAAGGGTGGCGGCGGCGGCGGCGGTGGCAATCAGAAGGGGAGAGGGGGTGGCGCAAAGGCTGGTGGCGGCGGCGGAGGCGGCGGAGGCGGCGACGACGATACGGGTAGCATGCGCGGTCGCCGTTCCCGGTGCGGCAAGAAAGGCCACCAGGTGGCCGACTGCACCGAGAGCAAGCCCGTACGATGTGAGACATGCAAGGGCTAAGGGCACGACAAGAGCAAGTGCCCGACCGAGGGGGCGGTGCTCGTGGTGGANTGGCAATCAGAAGGGGAGAGGGGGTGGCGCAAAGGCTGGTGGCGGCGGCGGAGGCGGCGACGACGATGCGGGTAGCATGCGCGGTCGCTGTTTCCGGTGCGGTAAGAAGGGCCACCAGGTGGCCAACTGCCCCGAGAGCAAGCCCGTGCGATGTGAGACATGCAAGGGCTACGGCCACGACAAGAGCAAGTGCCCGACCGAAGAGGCGGTGCTCGTGGTGGAAGTGCCGGCGGGGAGGGCGTCTGCGGACGCCACAGCACTGGACGTGGCAGAAGAAGCGCTGGTGGTCGGTGACATCTCAGGCGAGTGTCACAAAGTCGTTGGTCGACGGGGTGTAGAGCTGGCTAGGCGGGGTAGGTATGTTACCGATACCGGCGCTACCACCCACATGTTCCCGAACTCAGATGGGTTCGTTCGTTACGAAGAGTGTGATCGACGTGTGCGCGTCGCCGGAGAAGCCTTTTTCCCCATCGTGGGGTACGGCGACGTGACGGTAACCCTTAGCTCGCGCGACGGTACAACCGACCTGTTGTTGAAACGGGTTGCACACGCTCCCTGACTAGATAGCAACCTAGTATCTCTCACTTCCCTCTTCGACGATGGGTTCGAAACCAAAACCCTCAGTAAAAACGAGTTGGAATTGGAGAGAGGGGGGGGGGAGTCGGCGTACTTCCGCCGATGCAGTAACCTGTACGTCCAAAACGGTTTCCGCACTCACACCGAACATGCCTATGCCGCAATTGCTCCTGGCAACGCGAAAGCGTTCAGCGCCCCCGTTCACATCAACGATTTCCACTGCGCGCACGGCCACTCCCACGAGGTGCTGCTGAGGACCACGGCGAAGCAGCAAGGGACGACGCTGGTGGGCGAGCTCCGGGAGTGCCTGGGGTGCTCGACGGCGAAGGGGCTTTCCAAGCCCATCCCCTACAAGACGTCGACCCGAGCAGCTAAGAAACTGCAGCGAGTTTTCGTGGATTTGAGTGGAAAAGCAAGGGTGCAGAGCTTGGGGGGGAAGTGGTACACTCTCATTGTCAAGAATAATTACACAAGGTGGAACCGTGTCTATTTTCCTAAAGCACAAATCAGACGCAGCTGAGGCATTTGAGAGGTACCTTGCAGAAACCCGGGCAGACGGTGCCCCGTCCGATGTCATGGTCGTGAGATCTGACAACGGAGGAGAGTTCTTTGAGGGAGAGTTCGGCAGGGTGTGCCGGAAGTACTGCATCAAACAGGAGTTCACCCCCGCGCACAGCCCAGAATACAACGGTGTAGCTGAGAGAGCACTGGGTCTGATCAAGGATGCAGCACTAGCCGCCCGTATCCAAGCGCCGACTCTTTACCCTGGAGCACCGCGCTACCCCTCCCTTTGGGCCGAGGCCATTGCTTGGGCATGCAACGCCCTGAACTGCACCTCCACCACATCCAACCCAGAGAAGAAGTCGCCGTACGAGATGTGGCACGGGCACCCTCCCCCGCCGGGGGCGACGTACCCGTTCCTCAAACCTGCCGTATACAAGGTCAGGCGCACACACAAGTCCGAGCCAAAAGCCCAAAAGTGTTTTTACCTCGGCCCGGGAATCAACACCAACCGTGATTGCGTGCGCATCTAGAACGAAAAACGCCAAGCGATCACAACTCGCAACTTCACCTGGCAGTCCGTACCCGTTGCCCCCACCGCCCTGCCCCAGTCGCTGCCTCCCATCGCGGAGTAAGAAGAGGAATTCGCGACTGGGGAGGAAAAGGTTGGGGAGGGCACGTCGAGCCAAGGTGGAGGGAGAAAAAAGGGAGCACCTGTGGATGGAGGACCAGGTTTCAACCTTGGCACGACGGCAGCCCCGGGGACCGCGTGGCCGCCCGCGCGCGTCGCGCCGGCCGCGCCCCAGGAATCGGGCGCGGACGAGGCTGGCGATGGCGCCCCCTCGAGCAGGGAGGGCGCAAGCGTCGCCCCATCTGCCACGTCGATCGGCACGGCCGATGTGGGCGGCGGCGAGGACGACCGGCGCAACAGCAGCAGCCGCGGTAGCGNGTCGAACCAAGGTGGAGGGAGGGCGGAGAGAGAACCTGTGGATGGAGGACCAGGTTTCAACCTTGGCACGACGGCAGCCCCGGGGACCGCGTGGCCGCCCGCGCGCGTCGCGCCGGCCGCGCCCCAGGAATCGGGCGCGGACGAGGCTGGCGATGGCGCCCCCTCGAGCAGGGAGGGCGCAAGCGTCGCCCCATCTGCCACGTCGATCGGCACGGCCGATGTGGGCGGCGGCGAGGACGACCGGCGCAACAGCAGCAGCCGCGGTAGCGGCGGCAGCGGCAGCGACAGCAGCAGCGGCGGCAGCAGCGGCGATGACGGCGGCAGCGACAGTAGTAAACAAGAAGGGCATGAACCTCAATCACTGGAATGTAAAGCAGCCGTACACACACCCCACGCTAGACGAGGAGGTTTTTCTGAGGCTCCCCGCTGGGTGCGGCGACAAATCGCATAAGATTGTTAAGGCTGAGCGTGCGATTTACGGTCTGAAGCAGAGCGGTAGGCAGTGGGGGTACCACGCTGCTGGTACGCTAGTCGAGAGCAGGTTCGAGCAGTGCAAGGCGGACCCGTGTGTTTTCCGCAAGATGGTAGACGAAGTCGTGGTGATGATTATCGTGATCTACCTGGATGACATTCTGGTGGCTGGGTCTGACGAGGATTGCGAGGAGTTGCTTGCTTCTCTCAACAAAACAAATCCTACCAATAGTCTTGGAGAATGCGAATGGTTTGACGGGTGCGCCAGTGAGAGAGATGTAGAGGCTGGGACTCTTAGAATCTCCTAAACCGCGTACATTGATAGCATGGTGAGACGCTTTGATGTGCAATCGACCTCCCGCATCCCTGCTTCCCCTGGTGCCGACCTAGGACCGAAGCAAGGTGACGAGAAGGGAGGGCAGTGGCCGGTGAGGGAGGCCATCGGCAGCATGATGTGGGTGTCGACTTTCTCGCGTCCAGACGTCTCGTTCGCCGTGCGTGCGGTAGCGCGCCACGCCCACGCCCCGGCGAAGCGGCACTGGGATGCCATACAGAAGATCCTCGGCTACCTGAAAGGGA